CGTACAGGCTGATGATTGTGCATGTATTCGTTGCTTGTTTTGTACGTAGCAAACGTAGCATAATTTGTTTATTCGTTCGAGTAGAGCCTGCCGATAGCACATGATGTCTAACGTATCGCGGCGTTCTTCCAGTCTTGGAAAAAACGAAAAAAATACGTGTGTACGTCAACGAAAAAAATTAAAAGCAAATTTACCGATCTCAATAAAGTTCGCTGTTTTTAATGCGTAAATGTGACTCGTGTTTGTATTCTTTGTGACGTTATGTGTTCGATGCCCTGTCCACCCCCGGCCCCCACCCCCATAGTTTCAATGAAGGCCGAGAGTTTGAGCCTCAGAGTCTCTTAATCGGAAAGGCCGGGTATTTGAAAAAAATGTGCTGACAAATTGGCTTTTCAAATAAGCGGCATCTACTGTACTAGTAAAGATTTTGATTTTGGCTGGGTGGAATCCTCAAACTACAAGTTACAACTTCAAAAGACATAAAAGACATAAAAATCTGGCTGTGGTACACGCAACATTAGCACTCACTGAGGCAAGAAAAATAGCAATATTTTCCTTGTAGTTTTCCCGTATCTAGATTGAATCAGGTGTTCAACACTAGAAAATCTGCAGAATATCTGATATTTGGTAAGATTTTACTGCTCATTTCACAGCCTCCATAAAAGATTACTGCCTGAAGAATGCTGGGGCTTATATATAACGTTAGTCTTTTTTTATCAATTACATGCTGTTTTCTGTGGCCATTTTCTTTTTACATAATTTTCTTATCACAAACTATTGATTTCTGCTTAAGCTATAAATCATGAGAACAATCAGACGAGCCACTTTAGCTGAGATTGGCTGATTTCCAAGGGAGCCCAGAACATGTATGTTTAAAAAGAGGTAAATAAATGATCCATACCAGTAATCATTTCCATGTAGAAAAGTGATCTTCACTTTCCACCCGGACATACGCCATTACACATTTTCTCTATATAACATTAATTCCAAGTTTCAAGACCTCCAAACCTTTCAAATTTGAAGAAACAAAACTACTAATAACTAATGTTCTCATATCACAAACTCATATTGAATTGCCAACAAAGACAAACTGTTTGTGTGTTTAACAGCCATTTTTGCTGTGTCCCAAACACAATAAAAAGTAGTTACTGTACACGTTACACAACTTACAGATATCCGATACACGCATACATGTAGGGTCATGATCAGTAGGGATCGTGTATAGAGTATTTACTAGAGTACAGTCAGATGTATGCCCACACAGGGACCTTATTACACGATGATGACATCATGTCTCTATGTACATAATGGGGCAAGTCCAGTATCAAAAGCCAGTTTCTCCTCATGAATATGTACCAGCTCTACTCTGGATCTACTGTCTACTGACATGCACACAATCATGGCTGCACACAATGACTTGCTCCTGTATCTAATCAGCTTATCACAATCACTTGGGAATTGTGATACTAATTTGAAGTCTGGCACGTACAGGCCAAGGGATATCCTGTTCACGGAATATAAGAATGATAACAGACCCATCATATCAGTGGCTCTGATCTAAAAACTGAAATGAGCACTTGCCTCATGCAGTACACAACTTTACTCTCCAAGCAGAGGTTGATGAGGTGAAGATTGTTTGCTTTTTATATATGGCCCTTTTTTCGTTTTATTTTTATTTTTTATTTTTACATTTTTTTGTCGGGTTGGGGGGGGGGCAGTAGCACCAAAAAAAGGGCCATATATATAAAAAGCAAACAATCTTCCCCCATCAACCTAGATGGGGAGCACACAAGTTGCCTGCATACAGTATGAGTACTGTACACAACTTGCCTACTCTCATCTGCCGAATAAACATACCCCCCCCCCGGATAAATCTTCAAAATCAAATAAACATACCCCCGGAATAAACGTACCCCCCGGAAAATTACCAAAATTGACGGGTAACTTGTGTCTCTTGTACTAAAATGCGCCCTTACTGATATATGCACAAATCTTTAACTGTTATTTGCAATTAGGAATTTAAATAGACAAAAAAAAAGAGCATTTAATATATCGTATTTTGATAAGCACCACCCATGACAATAGAACATTCAGACGAATTTATGCACGCGGTGATTGCAAAAACTGGCCCAAAAATGACAAGTTTCTCGCTACAATACGCGTTTATAAACGTCTTCACGTCGAAGATTTGTCAATTTTTTTCACACGAAGTTGAAAAAAATTACTGGTTTTCAAAAAATTAATAAACGTACTGTGCAAAAGAAGAACGTACTGGGTGGATGTTTGGGCCCAAAAAAATAAACGTACCCGTATGTTTATTTGGCAGATGAGAGTACATGAATGTGCAGTACAAGGTACATGTAAGAATGCATGTTAAACGTCTGGTAGAGGAAACTCTTCAGGCTTTCCTGCTATGGCAAACATCAAACAACTTTACCAGCTGCAAGGAAGTTGGAGAATTTTCTCTTTAAACTTACTTCAGTATATATGAGATTAGTCTAGGCTATTATGATTAATATTGAACACACAAATTTCATTTCATCTTTTTACCTTCGCCAAGAAGGTTATGTTTTCAGTAGCGTTTGTCTGTGTGTGGGTATGTATGTGTGTTTGTGTGTGTGTGGTTTAGCAAGATAACTCGAGAAGCAGTAAATGGATTGGAATGAAACTTGGTAGGTGGGTAGGTCTTCATGAGACCTAGAAATGATTAGATTTTGGGCCCCCTGGCGGCTTTCCTAGGTACTGCAGCTGAACTTCCGGTTTTGATATCTCATGTTCTGGACATGCTAGGGTCACGAATTTTGGTTGGTAGATAGCTCTTGTGGTAGGGAAGAAGTGACGTGAGTTTGGGTCCCCTAGCGCCTTCTTCTGGAACTGCAGGAGCATTTGTTGAAAAAAATTTGAAGGACGATAACTCAAGAACCGGTTGACGTATTGTCGTGATTTTTGGTATGTAAGTAGTATAAGTGATGCTTGACATGATCAGATGGCAATTATGCAAATCAGGCGCTAATTTGCATAATTAATGAGGAAATTCTATAACTCTGCTTTGTTCGATAATAGAACTATGAAACACTTGTGACATCTACTTGAGAACGAGAAAAACATCTGAGGATATATATTATGTAAATGAGGACCTAATTTGCATAATTAATGGAAAATTCTTATAATTTCATAGTTGTAACTGCTGCACCCCGAATTTCATACTTGCCACATTTGGAAGTTAAGTGAAAGTGAACATCAACAAACATAATTTATTCAAATCATGACCTCATTTGCATAATTTATGAGGAAGTGCTAAAATAGCCTTTTTGTTATGATAAGGCTGTCATTGGATGAAGTCTCAAGAATATGATCAACTGACATAGTCCATGCAAATGAGGCTCTTATTTACAAAATCAATGATTAAAATTGTATAATTCGTCACCCGCAAGGGTTAACCTCATTTGGCGAAGGTATGAGATTGTGGAACTCTTGTTATTTATTTTACCAGTAGCAATTATTATACATAACTGCCAAATATTCCACAGCCTCAATTAACCCAAAGTAGACTGATAATTGAACTGTAAAAGTCTTCTATCATAGCTGTATCAAATTCCTATTAATAGTTTGATCAGGTTGGTTAATATAGTACTGAATAAAGTTCCTTCTTATAACCAAAAGGTGCCAAACTATACCTGTTAACGCAAAGTTCTAGGTTTGGGAATCCCATATTCAATATCCAATTACCACTTCAATTAGGCCTTGGTTGATCGCAGCATGGAGCACTGCAATGTACAAAATTCCTCTGATGGACGTTGAATAAGGAGATTCAAGCTTAGTGATTACAAAATACAAAACGGAGCTACATGATGTAACGTTACATTTGTACTGCTGTGTTCATGCAAAGTGTCACATATTCAGACAATGAATAATTCATTACTGATCAGTGGTACTTTGGACCATAATCATAAATTCATCATGATAGCCAAATCCAACGTACATGGAAATACTGGGTGCATGTGCACCTCAGTGCACCAAAATTTGGAGCTGTGCACGCAATTTTTTTCTGAGGGTGTACCGGTGCACCCAAATATTTTCATAGCTTTACATATGTTGAGATGTTAAATGTATATTCAGCAGATTCTTAATGTGTAAGTGTCAGAAAAATAAAATCATTGTTATAGAACTTTTCTTTAGAAATCAAACATAATTAGTTTTTCCTGACATTCTACTTATCTCATCTTATATGGTGCACCCAAAAGTGTTTTTGTGTACCCAATTTTTTAGGTTGGGTGCCTACGTTAGTGTCCAATCGACATCCGAACAGCAACGTTATCATCTTAGAATTCTAGAACAGACACTAAGAATAAAGCATTTTTTTTTAGTTGAAGATATAGTTCTTTTGTACACCTTCCTTTCCTCTTTAAATCACGGTGAACACACCCTATATTCCTGGTCTCTTTCCAAGAAATCATGTCCCGGTGAACTTAAACGAATTTACAGTACTCAAACATTTATGAGTCATTGTGACATTTCTGTGAAATGCCCAATAAAATCCTCCAGTTAAGCAAGACACTGACAGGTTTCGTGGATTGAATAAAAGAATGGTGTAAAAACTCAAGGATTAAAAACTCCGGGAGTAGTCCGAATTCTGCACACTTTGATTGCTAAAACATGTCATGTCATAATTAAATCCCTAAAGCTAAAGGGTTAGGCTGATATGGGGGTTTAAAACCATTGATAACTTGTGCCATAAATAATTTTGGTAACGTTATATTTCCGTCTGTATGTGAACCATAATTATGTCAACAAGGCAATCCCTTTCACGTAGAACGGAAGCACACACACATATACACAGGCAGACACACACACAGACAGACACACCTTCGGGAGGTACATGTACAAGTCGGAGATATCTCCGTGCTTTATGGTTCAACAAGAGTGAACTACTTCTTGTAAAAACTTCTTCCAAACCCACGAGAAAAAACTCTACACAAACAAGTAGAAAATGGACTCACCTTGTCGAGCTTTCTGTACCTTTATCGTCCACCTCGGTATCTGAAGTTTGACTCTTCTTTAAATCCACTAACAAACTGTATTAACTACAAGAAAACTCTTTATTCTACACTTTATTCTACTTACAGGAAGTAAATATATTCAGAACCATCCGACCATTGCTCAGCTTGATACTTTGACCCCTGATCACGTGATAAAAAAAAATCCGAAAAAAAAACAACAACAGAAAGCTTGATATTTTGTCATATTGTTCTAAAATATCTTCAAGTATTATAATTTTCATGTCTTAAAGTATGATGAACGTTTTTTGTACGAGTTTTTCAAAACTCATCTTTAAAACCTTGCAGTCACGTGATAGAGCTCGGCCAATCAGAATGAGCCGGGGAATTCAAATTCCAGCTGCGTAGGAAAGAATCACGACGTTTTTAGCAGCTGTGCCATTGTGAGCAGAAAAGGCAAGGAAAAGGGTTGTACTTCGCTTCAAAGACGACCAAAGATGGCTCACAAACATATTTATTACTCGGACAAGTATTACGATGATAAATTTGAATACAGGTAGGTGTTTTGGCGAGAAAAAGAAAGATTTCTCGTTTGTATCTCTTTGTGCTTGCGGCCATTTTTTCTCTGGGAAGTCGTTCGACCCCAGAGTTTGTTATTCGTTTTATTGTGAAGAGAACTGTCCATTTTCCATACCTAAGTATTCACCATAAAACATTACATCGTTTCTCAGTGTTTAACTGCTCTTTTGAGTTTGTTTTCCCCACTTTTTCCCGAGTAAACCACCACGTGATCCCTCCCGAACCTAAGCAGCTACGCTAAGCTTACTCCCTAACACGAGCATCCCTGTCGTCACTACTTTGAAAGTTTGAAGTTTGAACAAAAATAATTCTTGCCTGGCAATCTGCCTGGTAAAACCACATGCCCAGATACTGTGCTACTAATATGCAGTTTTCAACTGAAATAATACTTTTTATATCTTTTATTTGAAAACCTTATTCGACTGTAGACGGTGTCAAGGTATTCAAGGTATCAAAACACCAAAAAGTATTATGAATGATCCATAATTCTTATTTTTGACTTAAAAAAATCATCCTACTGTTGTATATGTTTTTTTATTTTTATATGAACCCTGAAAGATTAGCCTTTTGGTGTAAAGGGCATCAAAATGAAGACAAAATGAATTTTGTCCTTTTTACAGACATGTGATGTTGCCGAAGGAACTTGCCAAACTGGTCCCCAAGAGCCACCTGATGTCGGAGTCGGAGTGGAGAGGCATCGGTGTGCAGCAGAGCCAGGGCTGGTGCCACTACATGAAGCACGAGCCAGGTAATACAGGCTCTGTCTCCAAATTCTTTGTAACTAATGTAAGGCCACACCGATTTAACGGTGCACACCCCAGTTCTAGCGCGACCGGGGTCCGTGGTAGTCCGTGGTAGAAAAGTGACGAAGGGGTTTCGAGGGTCCAAGTTTGAGGTGACATTTCTCATAAACTGCCACAAAGTATCATTAAACATTAACATAGCTGAAGAGTGTAAGAAATGGTGATTTTGGGGTGAAAATTTATTTTGGCTCAGAACCTTACTTCCGGGTATCCTTGCACGCCAAGTGTAATCCGCCCATTCATCAGAAGAGGCTGAGGCCTGGGTGCCATCCTCCGTAATCCATTGTTGCTACCGACAGCAGGGACCTGGCAGGTACAGAGGACAGCACCAAGGCTGCCAAGGCTCCGCTGAAATCAGTACAGTTCCGACTCAGAAATGCTACATAAAAGGCTAGCATGTGCAGGCTTGTAAAAGTAGTCGTTTACAACCGCAAATTTGCAATACATAAGCTTTGTATACCTTGGTGATTTTTCTTTTGCTGCCCTTTTTTTTATTCGCTGGCTCACTGGCATCAATGAATTTTGGTGTCTCCCAACTCCCAAGGATGTCATCCATAAAATGAAGTCAGTGTAGCCTAATAAGTAAAGAAGCAATATCACAGTGTTAACAGCTATGTTCTTCCTGCAAAGTGTTTCTTCCTCTATACCTGTTGATATTACAAGTTGATTGAGATTCACAATTTCAGATGAACCAGGAGACACATTTAGTAACAATATGGTGGTAGAGGTACAAAATTGTCGTAAGATTGCATTTAGATAACATTGGTAAGTGGGTATCGGAAGTATAACCTTGTTGGAATTTAGATGATTTAAATTGTGAAGAAGTGGAAGCTTGCTGCTGGGTGTGCCATCAGGCACAGGATCGGAGGAACTAAGGTCTAAGGGTATCCTTCAATTTGGGCGTTATAGGTATTATCAAGGAGGTTAAAAACATTAACCTCCTTGGTATTATGTGTATGTAATGTAATGTATGTACATGTATGTGTATCAATGATCAAATTCAGAATGAATTTGTACTTGTTTGGTCACACATCTGTGTCAGGGTTCTCACCAGGGTTTTTTGACAGCGTAGGGGTCAGGTACAGAAGGGCAACTTTCTGCGGCACAAGTCGCACAGTAAGTCCCAAAAACATGACCACAGCAGGGGGTCTGAAATTCTACACAAAAATTTTGTAACTCATGACCCCTTGGCTTGAGACACTATATTCCCTGCTTATTGGGGGACAGGTTTTGTTTTCCCTTTGTTATAGCTTCATTCTGAAGTTATATTGTAATTTTTTGAAAGATTTATGAAGCTTCTGCCCCCAAAACACCCCTACACTGGTTGGAAGACAGTGCAGGGGGCTCAATCACAACGTGGGGGTCCAAATCACAGCGTAGGCGGCCCCTACGCTCAAATAGCCTAGTGAGAACTGTGTGTGATAACGTTACTACAGGTCTGGCCCAGACCTGTAGTAACGTTATCATGTCTGGCTTTTTTAAAACTTGGATATAACTTTATAACGGATTTTATCAGATTATATTATCTGACCTGCATGAGGTTGGAAGGTTTATTTTTGTTTTCCTGTTATTTTCCAGAACCTCACATCCTGCTGTTTCGGCGACCAATCACAACTCCCCCAGACCACTAGCGTCGTGAGCGCCGGGAGACCGGGGTCCTCACGCATCTGCTTGGAGACCGGACCTGGGTCCCCGCACGTCTGCTTGTGGTTACCATGGAAACCTGTGACATGTACATACTCAGGTGCTACACAAGGACAACTCATGACATCATCATGGCAGCTGCTCAACAATAACAACAACCAACACACAGTTAGAATGGACAATTACAGTTGAACTGATGTTGTCTCCAAACGTTGTCACTATAGAAGTGCTGTTCTGTCTATGTACCCTCCATTTTTCTTAACCCTATATATTTTCTTAACTCTTTATTCTTAACTCTCTATATTCTGTCTTCAAAAGTTTTGTTCTTCCCCATTTTTTTTACTGTTCTGATCTAAAGACATGCATCACTATAATAGTAACACTGCAAGTTTGCAACATGTAAATATTACAATCTTACCATAACATGTTTCCGCAGTACTGATCATTGAGACATTGATAGATCACGGCAAAGTCATGTCAGCTAAACGCCGCTGTTAAAGTTATACTGACCCATTCCTTACTATCTGTAGAAGTGCACATGTATGTACAGTATGTATGGACTAGATGGTTAAAGTACATAGTTCACAATTTGTAAGGATACGGGAAGACAATAGCAATTGTAAGGACCTACATAGTTCCAGCCTTTGTCGGTTTCCAGTATACTAGTAGGGCCCTTTTCTTAGACTTCCCTTAGTTATAGTAGCTCTTTTCTATTGTATGTATTAGATATATTGTTGAATAAAGTCAGAAAAATGAAATGACTGCTGGTTGCCTTAATGTTTTGACAAACTGTAGGCTAGGCCTCTTCATTTTTTTTTTGTCATCGACAACATTTCAAATTTCACAAATTTTTACTGCTTTTCAATTTGGTAAAAACTTCCCAAGCAACTGTTCCTACGTGTTCTCTGCAGATCTGAGGAGGCTTACATTTACTTTTTAGTTGAAGAACTTTCAATTTAATGATAATAGGCCCTTGGCACCCTATGATAGCCCGAATGCTACCTTAGAAGCCACAAAGTCAACATACTAGGCTAGTTTATAATTCAATGAATTTTGAACTTTTAATTGATTTACTAACTGGGCAGATACTTCAGTTGTTAGGGCCAAACTGTATTATTGTTAAAACTTTTTCAATTTTCTCTGAATTTGAGAAGCACAATGTCGTGAGTTCTAAGATGGGGATGGATGTGCATTCAGTCCCTTGAAGTGTTACTCTGTAGTTCTGGTTTTACAAAAATTGTAAAAATAATACAAATTGTTCGTTATGTGCTGACAGAGACTAATTAGGAGGTGCTGATACTGATAGTGGTAGCCTTGGTACACAAAAAATACTTTATAAGGAAGTTCTCTCTAGTTTTCTGTGAAGGGGCTGACTACATGGACTAAATCTTTGCTACTCTCTCTTCCACTGTGCAACTAGCCGGCCGGTAGTGGATCTTAGGGAGTGGACGAAAGCTAACAGGGCTGACTCCACGGCTACTGTGCAACTTCATGTACTGAAGACAACATCAGCTGTGAAAAAACATGGTCCTTTATTGAAGAAAACAAAATAGAATTCTCACAAGTGTGCAACCCATGACAAACAAATATACAATGTTTCGACAAAAAAAGCAGACTGTCAGCTACTGTAGATCTTTAGCACTAGGTACAAATTGCATTCACATCGTAATTGTAAACTTCATTTACTTTCTTCACTAATACATTGTATGTCTCGAATCAGTTCAACTGGTTAGTCCTTGGATACACCACATTCGACAATAGAAACATTTTTAAATCCTGAAATACGATTAAACATATATGAGTGATACCAAAATCATAACAATATAACACTGAAAAGAAAACAGTACTTCTTGGCATGGATATCCCGGAACTGGTACTACAAGATGTGTTTACTTCTACGGATAAATAAACGACTTGTTGGCGAGTTTCTACAGGTAACACTACTGAACGGGTAGCAGCATTTTTTTCTCCCCCACAGTTTATAATCTCATGATCTGGCTGTAATAGATGTCCCACAGTCTTTCAGACACAGTGTTTTAATCAGCCACGTCCACGATCAGAGGAGTGATGTACTCGGAGTGCCTGATGCCCAGTGAGTACGTCGGAGCCTTCCTCTTCGTGACGTAGACTCTTTCGGGGTAATGCGCGCCCGGTCCCGGCTTCTTGGTGGAGTCTCCGGGCATGAAGCTGCGGCCCAGCATGGAGTACGCCGGCTTCTTGTGGTTCACGATGTTCGGGTCGGTTGCGTTGTAGCGGCCGGGTCCCGGCGCCTTCGCCAGGTCCTCGGAGAAGCTGCCGGTCTTGGATCTGGCGGTCATGGAGTAGGACGCGCTGGAGTTCTTGTTGGGGACCTTGGAGCCGAGGAGCTGCGGGAGGGAGTAGGAGTTGGGGGCGGGGACGGCGTCGCGCTTGCGGTAGCGCGTACGGGCCGCCATGGAGTACACGGGCGCGTGCCGCTCCCCCTGAGGGTGCACTTTCTCCGGGGAGTACGCCCCGGGGCCTGGGGGCTGGAACACTCCTGGGGTGGGGACAAGACAGAGCAGGGTCAGTATGGGACAAAACATCACATATATATTGGGCAATATGTGGACTTTGTCAAAATTCTAGAAGAAGCAGCTCACATGTATTAAGAGATTTTTGCTTAAATAATTCTTCACCCTAGATTAGAATAAATCTTATTGCACTATTTTCCCACCAATAATTAAGAAAGCCTATTGTACTTTTTCTCCACTATTATTGATCAGACTCTACCCTCACATCTCAAAATGTCACAAATTTACAGTGAACATCTGCTGACTCTATGGTTCCAAAATCACATTGTGCAACTGTCATCAGCAATAAGAACAGATATTTCTGTATCCTCGCGGTAAACTTGAGTTTAAAAGTGACTCACTTGGATCCTTGATGCGGCCGGAGACAGAGTAGGAAGGCGTGCCGTCCACGCCGTGTTTGGTGATTCTGGGTTCGATGAAGTATCCGGGTCCCGGGCTGCAGTCCTTCTTAAACACTGCAAATGACAGAAAAAAGGCAGGAGCCATTTAGCTGTGTGTCAGAAAGTGTTGTGAGTTCAATCCTTGGTTGAGTCATACCAAAGACTTTAAAAATGATACATACTGCTTTCTCTGCTTAGCACTCAGCATTTGGGAAAGAGTATGGGAGTTAAACACATTACTACCAGTGGACTAGCCCCCTGCTGTAGTGAAGGCTGTGTGTGGCCCAGGGCTAAGAAACGTTTGTCTCCACGTTTGCATTTGTGGGTTATCTGATACCTGCAGTCACCACTGCCTTGATAACCTGTGTATTGAACTCTTGTCATTGCCAATAAAGAAAGAAAGAAGGAAAGTTTTTTACAGATGAAGAGGAAATGGAAGGTTGTTTTACTCACTTGTGTCCTCCAGGCGTTTTGCGAGGGTGTAGGAGGGGTTCATCCTCTTGGTGAAGTCATGTTTGATGTACCCAACGTTGGTGGGCAGGGCATACCTTCCCGGGCCAGGACCTGAAATATGCACATGGGGTTTACTTTCTTTGCTTGATAAGAACTCAGGTAAAATATTCAGGTCTAGATGATCATGAAAGTTCATCTGTGTTGGTAGTTATCATGGTAAAACGTTGACTTTTTCCTAACACACATTATACAGTCATTACAGTGGTCGCTGAAATGTGATCTCTGTATAGTGTGAGTGTTGGAATAAAGTTCAACGTTTTACTATTCTGGTCTAGACTTGATGTAATCTCCAAGCAGATCCTAGGGTGGCAAAATACAGTACCAACTTGGCCAGGCAGTATCCATTGACCAGAGAGGGTCCATTTTGATACTGTCTTTTGCCACCCTAGGATCTGCTTGGAGATTAGATTTGATGACACTAGCACTACACGAAAAGCTGGTTTTACCACAGGTTGTAAGTTCAGGTAATGTTTACTATGTACACAGTATCTGGATGTAAAATAGTAGTAAATAAAGGTCGATTGCAGTAATTTCCTTTACAACCCTTGTTAAGTCACGTATCACTGAACTTCACTTTTATTTTACTGCCATTGCAAAGTTCAGAAGTGTTTATTAAAAGAAACAAAGTAAACATTTCCCAACTCTACTGGTATCGGTAAATCCAAGGAGGTCAAATACAACCTCCTTGGTAAAGCTAATTTTCCGTGCAGCGTAGCCACAGTACAGCACATGATATGTTGCCCATTGTCATGTTTCCATGACAGCTATTTGCTAATTGCCACTATCTACACGAAAGGGTGTCATTGTATCATCAATTTTTCATCCTCTGCACAATGGCCCTTAAATTTGTCCCCAGACAACACAGACAGACAATAGCTGCGATTTTTTTCCTCTCCAAGCATAGGTTTGGGTTTTGGGAGTATTTTTAGCATGTTTTTAGGCTTTTCTTATCTTGGTTTCTCTTTTGCACTGAATTTTTTTTTTCCACCAAACCCAGCCATACGCTAAAAATACCCCCAAAACCCAAACCTCTGCTTTGAGAGTAGGGATTTCCTCTCCCAGGAGTTGGGTTCATTCAGACCCAGACGACAGCATTCAGCTCAGCAGCAGTAAATTGTGATTTTCCCGTGGATGAAGCTTGTTGCTGTGGCATTGCTAATGGGGCATGACGGGCCGACTGCGTTCGGTACCACGGAACAAGTGAAACGAAATGTTGGCAATCTCTCTGTGCCTAGCTCTGGCACCGCGGATCGCTGGAAAAATAGTAGAAATTTGCGAAAAAAAATGGAAAGACTATACCAGGGGAGTTAGCCAGCCAGAGAGGTACCCTCCCCTGGTATAGTATTCGCTTTATTTATTTTGGCTAATTTCTACTATTTTTCCAGCGATCCGCGGTGCCTGGTAGAGGCTAGTCTTTTGAGTGGAAGGCTCCTTTAAATTTGCACCAAGCCAAGGGCTTTCATATAATGTCCTAGTTTGCACATAGCATTTAATTTCATCATGTGGAAAAGAAAGATGTTCCCTTTCAAATATGACCTCAAACGCAAAAAAAAGGATTAACTTTGTTTCAAAGAGACAGCCAAAAAGACAACGCTGTTTGCATTTTCGAACTCACAAAATCTGATAATCCAATCTCCCATGCCGTAAGCACCAGTTACATTGTAAGGCTTCACCGCACGCCTGTTATGTAAACTATATTACAGAACTTGCCGAAAAGATTTGGCCAAATTTCATTGTGTCTTACTTAGTTTTGAAAAAAGTCTGATTTAAGACCAATTCATGAAGACCAGTCATCCAAAAATTGAAAGACAAAACAGATGAGAGCAGAGTTTCCAGAGAGGGTGCGGTTGCGTGGGTCCCAAACAACGCCGTATCCATTGTAAACAATGGCGACTACACCGTGTGCGTCCAAGGGTGTCGGGCTCGGAAAATCACGGAAAGGGACCAGAATTTTCCAGAAAACTGTGGCAAGCCTAGCTCAAACTATCCAACAAACTTATCACAATGTAGAGAGAAAACATATTTAGATGCAAACTAAGCAATTTGGGTTGAAAACCCGCAGGATTTTTGGGTCGAAGAGATCGAACACCCGCGAATTGAGACACGCGCTAATTTTCGTGCTACAGGATCCAAAATCCCCGAGCAAACTAGTGAAAAAAAATCAATTCTGGGGGAAAAAATCACGGTTGTAAAATTGCATCCCCTTTCCGAGATGCATCCATAGACAAATTTTCCAAAATCAAGTACCACTTAAACAGTCTCAGTGGCCAGGATTGCCACACTCTCAGAGAACCAGAATGAATGGGTACAAGTCAAGAGGCATGGGCGGAAACGAAAAATGTGCCCGAGGAAAAAAAATATTCATCGGTTTTTAGGAAGAATAATTACCTCTCTCCCTTGCCGCAATCATGGGCCTCGTCCTCTGCTCTTCCTCAGGCATGGTTCAGGATAACTTTGGGTAAAAACTTGCTAGAAAATGTTGCGAGGTGCTCGCAGGGCGACGGTCTCTGCACTAGTCAGCTGTTTGGTGTTGACGCCGCTAACATATACTGAGCGGTTGCTACGGACGCCTAGGCAACGCTGCGGTAGCAACAACAAAAGGAACGGAGGGGCGACTGAGTAAACAATTACTTCATCCGCTTAAGAAATAGTCCCACTGTAAATGTTGGCGCTAACGTTAAAAATAAATCAAAACCTCGCACTAAAAACCAGCCTGTAGGTTTTCAATGTTTCATAACTTTTGTCATATTTATGTTATGCGTGCAATATGAAATTGAGATTGTTTGATGCAGTGCATTTCGCCCCAGGGCAACCTACCCTGGTGTCCGCTTGTATCAGGGGGCCTCGCACCTGCGGGCGGCTGCCATGGCAACGGCAAAGCAACAGGTGCACAAAGCGGTCTCGCGGAATCTCGCACACCTGTCGGCAAAGCGGCGCGAGATTCCGCGAGACTTCGCTCCCGCCAGGGCAGGGGTCATGGCGCATGCGCACGGCGGATTGTGAACTTGCTCGAAAATCCAAGATGTCGGACGAGGATGATTTTATGGTGGATGATGATGAGCAAGATTATGACTTGGTGAGAACTTGTTGGCTGATGTTATGATTACTAAGACTTGTAGATGTGATGTATGACATAATGAACGCCATTTAAGCTAAGGTAGTGGCCTTGTGATATGACTTTTGGCCCTTCTCTTGCCATTAGAAAGAAGTCATGCTTTCCGCAGCGAAAACTGCAACTGCATTTTGTGCAGTCTTATACAACCGGCATGTTTTGTAATTCGATCCGGAAACAAAATGTAGAGTATGTCTAACCTGTTACCTTAGATATACATGGAAACAGAAATCAGTCACTGGTAGCTATATTGATATTGAATATCGTTGTTCTGTATTAAATCTGGGTGCCCCAAAAAATTATGTCATAGGACGCACTTAGGTGGCTTATGGTGTGTGGGTTTTGGTTCATTCTGGATCCACCTCTGTCTGTTAAGAGTATGAACTGTCACAGCTATGGAAGCAACTAAAACACCATGTTTGTTTGTTTGTTTTTATTGTATTGAATGCCATGATATCCCAGAGGACAACTAAGAAAAAATTCTTCTAAAATCTGACAAGAAAATGAGATTTACCCCGAGATCTAGATTGTATCTTTCTTATGTTTGCCCCACCCCCAACTCCTGAACGACTTTTTACTAACATTTGCATATATAAGCAAAGTGATAATTGATAAGACCATTATAGATAAATACTCCAAGCCTGGTAATATAAACAAGAAATCAGTGCGTTGTCAACATGTCACAAATAAATTTCTAATCTATTAGAAAGAAAAAACATGTCAGCAATTGTGGGGTGCCTCTAAATTCCTTGTTTGACGTGCAAATGTCTGAGCTCTAACTTAAGTGTGTTTCTGTTTCTTTACAGGTGTATTCAGAAGACAGCGGCTCAGAGCCGGATGTTGACCTGGAGAATCAGTACTACAACTCCAAAGCTCTAAAGGAGGAGGACCCAAAAGCAGCTTTAGAGAGTTTTCAGAAAGTTTTAGACCTGGAAGAGGAGAAGGGAGAATGGGGATTCAAGGCCCTCAAACAGATGATCAAGATAAACTTCAAACTGGTCAGTTCGGATGATTTTTGTCTTGATTTCTATGTATCACAACCTTACATAGTTACAGGTTCCTTAAAGTTAAAGAAGTCATCACTTCTTGACCAATTCGGCAAGCATCTATCTAGGATTTTTCCATGACTGTTTTGATGAAATGTAATGTTAAGTAGTACCTGTACATTGTTTTTACCTTAGTATTTTTATACACCACCACAGTTGAAACACTGGCCTTCAAACTCCATGTGCAAAGACTGATGCCATAGTTTCTCATTGAATACAAAAGATGCTTAACTCCACCTGTACCTGTGCCTGTATTTAACCTGCATCAGTTCATGTTGTAAAGGATGTGTAGAATAATGTATTCCAACCCCGGAATATTACTTCAAAGAAACTGGCCTGTTTAAGTAAATACCAAAACTTTGTAAATTTTTCAGGGCAACTATGAAGAGATGATGAAGAGATACAAGCAGCTGCTCACATATATCAAGGTAGGATCTACAGTGGGTTAATATGAGCAGTTCAATGTACTTGTATTAGAGAAATGCATTTTTCTAACCTTTGTAAGAGACCAAAACCATAGAAGAACATGTATGTTGACAGATAAATATTGGTTGAAATGTTAACATTTGTAGCTGAAAGTTGGGAAAGAAATAGATTTGGTTGGATCAAGCTCATGTGCACAAATGTGTAATCATAGTTTTAATCTTGTTTGATTTTGAGGATTAAAACGACTGGATGTAAGCAGTTGTCATATAGAAGTGTGAGACGGGGGTAACTGTTTTTGCAGCATGAAAGGTTCTAAGGATTTACTACATTGTATTTAGGACAACTCATCATCAAACAAAGATGGAGCTTTCTATTATGTAGATTTAGGGTGGATTGGGATGGAGACAAGTGTGTTAATCCCAGGATCATAAACCCAGATTTGTTAATCCCTCCCCACACAGACTGCTGTAACAAGGAACTACTCGGAGAAATCCATCAACTCCATCCTAGACTACATCTCCACATCCAAGAATGTAAGTCATTACTGTATTTAGAAATGAGAGGGGTTCCCTCTGTACTTATGTAAAAGATAAGTTCCGGATCCTCAGCTTTAGACTTTTAAATCAAACAGAAAAATTCTTATTCCAAATACGTGGACGTTTGTTACTACCTACTAAGGGCTAGCCTGGGTACCATCCTACTTGTATGCCGGGGCTCCCACACTCGCTTCCCTAATAAGTACTTGTTAGGGAAGCGAGTGTGGGAGCCCCGGCATACAAGTAGGATGGTACCCAGGCTAACTAAGGGCTAGATCAGGAATCAAAATTGTTTCTTAACACTGTTTCCAGTCAGATCCATATGTAAAACCTATTTTCCATCTGAGTGGTACAGGGGTAATTTGTCTGGTGCAGGTAATTTTGCATGTTACCTGGACCAGTGCAGGTAAGCTGAAAAACTATTTCAAGCTCTGCTATACATGTATGTTTATCACAGTGGAATGCTCCTGTTGCCTACCGGTAGTACTTAGTGTTTACTTGACTTATGGCGAGTCCTGGTGTCCCTGGTTCGAGTCAAAATGGCAGCGGTAGTATTGTGCTGTTGTGTGTCTGTTAATAAACAAGACACAGAACGTTGGTGACTGACAAGCATACCATCCGTCTATTGCTGAGACTCCATGTACATGTACATTTGTACTATACTTCATGACAGATTTATGTAATATAATAACTCAGACTCATTTTTATCTGGGTAGTTGGGTTTCTGATTTTCAGTTTTTATGTTTTTTTTGGATATGTTGAAATTCTGTAACTATCCCAACACCTGCAACAAAAAATACAATGTCACAACAGCATGTTAGACTCACCTGCCTTTATGCTGCGTCTCTGTTTCAGATGGAACTGCTGCAGAACTTTTATGAGACGACGCTGGAGGCCCTGAAGGATGCTAAGAACGACAGGCTATGGTTCAAGACCAACACTAAGGTAAGAATGACAGGCTATGGTTCAAGACCAACACTAAGGTAAGAACGACAGGCTATGGTTCAAGACCAACACTAAGGTAAGAACGACAGGCTATGGTTCAAGACCAACACTAGGTTCTCCCCATTTGTCTGAAATCTGTGCAAGTGATATAGAGGTGGAGTAATGTAACATTATAGTTATTGACAAAATCAGCCGCTGAAATTATTTAAGCCCTACTTTCATTTTGAAACATGAAGATGGTCTTTTCTGTGTGGGATTTGTCTGTGGCTAAATACATGTATAGGCATATTTTTCATAGCTATATAAGATGTTGAATATGTGTGTATTTCTGAGAATTAGACAGACAAGGCTTCGGAAAATAGAGCTGAATTTGTGCTTTGATGTAAACCATAAGTTCAATTTCAATTCATTTATTTAACCAGTAATGTTCATGTCATGCAGTAGAAAATTGTTATCTATTTAAGCATACAATAGCTTTCCTTTGTGTTAGGTATACTATAGCTAGTACCCCGGTCAACTCAAAGGTACCATGGCTCAATTTAGTCCTAGACATGATACTAAAGTGCTGCACACTGCACAAACTAATCCCTGAGTATTTCCTTGTATAATCTCCAGTTGGGCAAGCTGTACTATGACAGGGAAGAGTTCAACAAACTGGCCAAGATCCTGAAACAACTGCACCAGTCATGTCAGGTGAGAGCCACCATGAAGAATCATGAGAAAACCGTGTATACATGTACATGGCATTGAAGGTATAGCAGAAAGTTTAGTCTCTTTCTCTCCCACAACTTTAGAATACTGCAGCTTTTTTTATCGATCATTCTTAGCTTTATTCAAAGAATAGCAAAATTTGATGGTCACTGAAGAATTGATTTGATATGAGTGTGTGAGTGTGTGAGTGAGTGTGAGTGAGTGAGTGAGTGAGTGAGTGAGTGAGAGTGAGTGAGTGGGTGAGTGAGTGAGTGTGAATGTGAGTGAGTGAGTGAGAGTGAGTGAGTGAGTGAGTGAGAGTGAGTGAGAGTGAGTGAGTGAGAGAGAGTGAGAGAGTGAGTGAGAGAGTGAGTGAGAGAGAGTGAGTGAGTGAGTGAGTGAGTGAGTGAGAGTGGGTGAGTGAGTGAGTGAGTGAGTGAGAGTGAGTGGGTGAGTGAGTGAGTGTGAATGTGAGTGAGTGAGTGAGTGAGTGAGTGAGTGAGAGTGAGTGAGAGTGAGTGAGTGAGAGAGTGAGTGAGTGAGAGTGAGTGAGAGAGAGTGAGTGAGAGTGAGTGAGTGTGTGAGTGAGTGAGTGTGAGTGAGTGAGTGAGTGAGTGAGTGTGAGTGAGTGAGGAGTGAGAGTGAGTGAGAGTGAGAGAGTGAGTGAGTGAGTGAGAGTGAATGAGAGTGAGTGAATGAGTGTGTGAGTGAATGAGTGTGTGAATGAGTGTGTGAGAGTGAGTAAGCATGTGAGTGAGTGAGTGTGAGTGAGTGAGTGTGTTAGTGAGTGAGTGTGAGTGAGTAGATGTTTGAAGTTTTTGTTTTTTTTCCTTTCCAGACGGATGAGGGTGAGGATGATCTGAAGAAAGGCACGCAGCTGTTGGAGATCTATGCACTGGAGATCCAGATGTACACGGCTCAGAAAAACAACAAGAAGCTGAAGGCCCTGTACGAACAGTCGCTGCACATCAAGTCTGCCATCCCACATCCTCTTATCATGGGGGTCATTAGAGGTCAGACTAACACTCTTCTGATGTTAATTAGTGTTTGTTAATTAGTCTATGTTAATTAGTCTTTGCTAATTACTGTATGCCATCCCCCACCCCCTCATCATGGGGGTCATCAGAGGTCAGACTTTCTTCTGATGCAGGACTAGTTTATGACTATACTGACTTGTCTGTGCTAATAGCCTATGCTGGGAGTTTAGAACTGCTATTTTACTGTCTACATGTCTGAAAGTCTGAGTAGCAGATTGAGTCATCAATGAATCAAAATGTTTTGTTTCAATTTGAAGCTGTTTTAGAATGGACGAATTTAGCAGTGGACAAATCTGTTACCGTACATTAAGTATATAACTTTTTTCTTTGGCAAAAGTTAGTAAGACTAATCATGTGCTGTGTTTATTCCAGAGTGTGGTGGGAAGAGTGCATTACTATGTGTGTATATGATGTGTTTATTACTGACCTGAGTGTGTATGTAACATGTTCCAGAGTGTGGTGGGAAGATGCATTGCTATGTTACTGAGTGTGTATTTATTGCTATGTTACTAAATGTGTATGTGATGTTTGTTCCAGAGTGTGGTGGGAAGATGCATTTACGAGAAGGGGAGTATGAGAAGGCCCACACAGATTTCTTTGAGGCTTTCAAGAACTACGATGAATCAGGAAGTCCAAGGTATTTCGGACACATTTGTTTCATAAATCACTGATTTGTGATTTCCCAATAAGATGTTAAATGTTTTCTCTGATTTTTGTATCTTATCAAAGTTAAAATGTGCTGTTGCATTAGGCTTTACATTCGGAGTGTAATGGAGGCATATACAAGTGCAAGTCCATGTCTGTGCCCTATAGAAGAACAATTTTTTTACATATTAGGCCTAGGAAAATAAATGTTGTGTTTCCTGTTTCCCGACCGACCCTAAAAAAACCGCCGACCCTAGCCTTATTTTTGTGTGGACCCCTGCATATTGCTGAACCAAAACATTTTGCACGACGCTACCGAGAGAATCGCTGTCATTGGTGGAACATCGGGCGCCCCGCTAGCGTTTTGAAGTCGTGTAAACAACGCTAATAATTTGTCTGATTTGTTTGTAAAACAAAGCCATCGACTCCGAAAATAAGTTTAAAAGCCGATACATTTACGAACTAATCGTAGAAAATTCCCTACCGTACTGCACCATCAGCATGCGGCGGCCGCAAAAATTCGGCAACGCGAAAGAAAAATGTCTGGTCCATGATAGCAGTATTTCTCATAAAAATAATGTATATGATTTATTTTTCCCCCTTTGTCGGTCTTTTAGTCCCAAAACGTCTAAAAAAGCGGAAATTTGCTCATAAAACCGGACGAGGAAAGGTAGCTATCGACGTAAACAAATTATAAGCACATGGCGAAAATCAGCAAAATCGGCAACGGGACAGAAAAATGCCTGGTCCATTTATCGATATTTACCATGAAAATGTCGTCTGTGGTGTATTTTTCCTCTGATGTGAGTTTTTAGGTCGCAAAACCTCTAAAAAAGCAGAAATTTGCCCACGAAAACGGACTGGCAAGGCATGGGGGAGGGCGCTGTTGACGCCTGCATGACCCCCAAAGGTTGAAGGTCATAGGGCAGGTCCATTGCGCAATAACCTTAAATCGCCGATTTAGCTAATTTTTTGGGGTTTCAAATTGATACAATCACACTATCGATTTCTAGGCAAACAAAGGGATAGAAACCAATTAAAATTTTGTGCAGATTAATTTTTTTTTTCTTTAGAATTCTTTTTTGTTTCTTTTCTTTCTCCCAAATCCCTGGGAGAACCCTGAAAACCTGTAGACTTGAATCAGGACCTGAATCTGAATTTAGCCCTGCAAGGGCTAGGGACATCTGTTAAGTTCTTCGAGCTGATCGACCGTTTAAAGCTCCATGATCTGACACCTGAGTACCTGAGTGATGAAATATAATATTGCACAATCGATTTTTCTATCATGTTCTGCTTATAATAAACACAGCAATCAGACAAAGTAAACTAAAAAAAAAATAAAAAATAAAAAATAAAA